ACACGACGTCGGGCGACGACTCCACTCTTTTTTTGTTTGTTTTAACAAAAAGAATAAATAGTTTTTTTCTTGATTGGGGGAAATAAAGATTTTATTGGAGTCGCCATCTAGTAATTTGAGGGAACTAGAAATCCAAAATTAGACATTGGTCCCAAAGATTCAGGTACTAGGTTAGTTATGATTAAGGGAAGGTAGACACCACCCTTAAAACATCCTTTCAAAGAAAGGTTACCCTTACTTGTGTGTTTTTCATTTGATTTAAATGCTATTATTTGCAAATTTTTTAAGATGGTTAACGTCGGTCCTTAAAAATAGGAGACACATTAAAAATGACATTAGTCCCTAAAACTAGGAGACTTTGTCTAAAATGTCGACGTTTGTCCCTAAAAAGGAGAGTTACGTCTGATTTACCAAAAGAAATAATAATGGACATAATCCATATTTGATATTTAAATTTTTGACATCGGTCCTTTTTTGTAAATAAAAGAGATGTGTCGACAAATAATATTTATTTTATAAAACAAAAATTATTTTGATACCATTGAGAAATGGGTATATCCATTCTTGAGAATCAGGTTTTGACCCATGAACAGTGATATGATAAAATGGGTGTTGGACCCGCGTCGTTATTTATTTTAAATTTATTTTTGTTGTTTTTTTTGTTTTTTTCATGCAAAAATTTACAAGTATTTATATATAAAAATATCAAAAATACCATAAAAAATCATAGAAAATTACCTGAGTGCCCCTGTATAGGTAAAAGACTGAAATATCCTCAGATTTCTCTGAAATTTATGAAAATGCCACTGGCGACGCGTGTGGCTCATGCACGGCTACTGTTGGCGGCGGTGAAATTTTCCAGTGAGATTCTGGCCAATAGATGGTTGATTCTGGTAGATATGAGGACGAGGATTCTGATGGTGGTGGTCTCGACGGTCGTTGATGGCTGATGAGGGAGAATCGACAACTTGAAGCTCGGTTGGCCGATGACTATTGCAGCCTTTTTCCGGCCAGAATCGCCGGTGAAATCGTGTAAAAAGGTCGGGGTTTTGCTTTAAAGGAGGCGATGCACCTTTCTGTGGTGGTTTAGCCGCTTAAAACGACTGGAAATGAAAGATCGAAGTAGAGAGAGAGAATCGCCAGCGAGAGGAGAGAGGGGCTCTGAGTTTTGATACGGTGTGGACTAGCGTATGGTGCATCGGTGCGTCTGAAGCCTGTGAACCGTTGGATCGCGGATGAACAGATTGTGCGGTTGTGATTGGCTTGATCTGCAAGTTGATCGGACGGTCAGGATGGGCTGGCTATGATCTGGTGTGTCGCGGTGTATCGAGTGTTTGGTACACTTGATGACGTGGCGCAACAGGATCAAAGGGAAGATTATTTTAAAGGCTGAGATGGATTTGAGTTTTAATCCGGTGTGGTAAAGCCTATTGTATCCTAAGAAATCAAAGGCTCAGATTCAAATACTATTAGATCTAACGGTTGGGATATTTTTGATATTTTTCAAATTGTTTTTTTAAAAAATCAATATCTTACTATGGTGAAGAAAAAGCAGAAAATAAATGAACTGACAAATAGTAATATAAATAGTTTACTCTCGAATTCAGAATTCTCTCTCTTTTTCTTTTTTTTTTCCTATTGGCTTGGTTTCATTAGCTATTTATAGCTAATAAAAGGAAACAGCGAATCACAGATTGTGTAGGTAATCACAGGATTGTGCAAAATTTTCAATGTACAGCTGCACCACCTACCATTGACAGAAATACTCCGCCTACTGTGACAAAATTGAATTATTTTTTTTTGTTTTTATTATATATAATAATCATATTTATTTATAGGGGTAAAATTAAAAATTCAAATGAGTATTATAAAAAGCTTTTCAACCGCTAAAAATCAATTTTAATTACAAAAAAAATCTTTATACGGGTATCAACTTGGTGGACCAGGTTTTTTGAAAATAGCCTGAAAGTCATTTTTCATCGCGGTTGACATGGTGGGACCCGTATTGACCTAGTGGACTCGGTTTTAACTGAAAATGACAGTTTTGACCCGAAACAGCCTGAAACTCATTTTTCATCGCTGTCGATATGGTGGGACCTGTATTGACCAAGTGGACTCGGTTTTGACCAAAAATGACGGTTTTGACCCGAAACTCATTTTTCATCGCGGTCGACATGGTGGGACCTGTATTGACCCGATGGATTTAGTTTTGACTGAAAATGATGGTTTTGACCTAAATCGGCCCGAAACTCATTTTTCATCCCAATTGACATGGTTTAACCCGTATTGACCTGGTGGACTCGGTTTTGACCGAAAATGATGGTTTTGACCTGAATCGGCCCGAAACTCATTTTTCATCCCAATGACGGTTTTGACCCGAAATAGACCGCAACTCATTTTTTATCCTGGTCGACATCGTTTAACACGTATTGACCTGGTGGACTCTATTTTGATCGAAAGATGCGGTTAACTCGAGAAAATATATTTTAAACTTTTTCTTCTTCTTCTTTTTTTATTATATATTTTTTTATGAATAATAAAATAAAATAACATTCGAGAAAATTTTAGTGAATCCAAAATTGGGTTACAACAAACATAAATCTAGATTAGTCATTTAACAAGTAAAGTGTTAAAGAGTGAACATGATAACAAATACAGAACATCATAGTGTTAAAATAGAAAAACAATTTGCAAATTCCACAAAGCAAGATATTCATCATTTAACTTCTATTAATCTATCCAGATAAACAAACTCTTATTAAATTTATATATCTACTCAATAACTTTTGAACAAGATATTAATAAATCTTCCTTTAGTGCTGGTCAATAAATCAACACATAGTTATAGGGATTTTCTTGGAAGAAAATAAAATTTTCATTCCAATGTTTTAAGGTTAACTTCCTTGGGTTGAGATTATTATTTTTTATTTTTTTCTCTTTTTTTTTAATATATATATACATATAACTTAAAACACGATGCATCTTTAATCCATGTAACGAGCTTTCAGCTAATGACTCCTAGACTAGATGGTCTTAGGGCATTAGGTGTTGAGACACCCCTACAAGCTTAGTAACTCGGGTTGCAGATACGGATGCATAGATAATGCAATGTTTGATTCTCTTAAACTTTCTCCTCAACCCATGTAACAAGCATTCGACCAATAGCTTCCAAATTAGTTGACTTTAGGGTATTAGGTATTAAAACACCCCTTTGAGCTTAATTGCTTAGGTTAGAGAGGCTACGAAAGTAAACTTATTTACATTTTTATTATCATCATTTTTTTTACTTTTTTTTTTGTTTCAAATTATATTCTATCCCTTTCTCTTAGGTGTTACCTTTAACAAAAGAATATAAATAATGTAATAATCTAATGTGCAACCCACAATTATATGTTAAAGTGTGTGTGTGAAAATTAAGGTTTAAGAATACATGTTAAATGAGTATATAAGCAGGATTAAGTGATAACAATACGAGAGTTTGCAAACTTGAATATTTAAAGAAGTATTATGATAAACCTTGTTAAGAATTGTTACTAAGATGCGTCTCAAGAGTCACTTTATCAAAAGAGCTCCTTTACTCTGCCATTCTAGTAACAACAATTTTGCACATGTTTTATGAAATAGAAAACACAATTAGTTAATTTTTTTTGTCAACCACTACCCTCTCCCCCCAACCAAAATGAGACATTATCCTCAATGTTCTAAGGTAGAAAGATAGAGAATAGAAGATATCACTTAAAATACTAAACATTGACAAACCTGAAACA